AAGAGCGCCGCCGGAAGCTTCAGTTTGGGAGCTTTTCGGAGTCGGTGGGAATTCTACATTTCAAGCGGCTTCCAGCTAGGAGGCGCAGGTATCAAACGTGCTAAGCACGGCCCATGTCCTCGAATCAGCCTGCCCCCGCACCCCTCTCCCCACCCCACCCATCCTCGGCCCAGCATATCTTAGGTCCGGGATATCCGATCTGGCAGCCATACTCCAAGTCTCAGACAACACGCTTGACATCTCTGCAGGCATCGTCGTTGCGTTTGGCTGGCTACTTACACCCTGACCCTGGCGGGGGAAGCGAAAGCTCCAAATTGGGCGGATGCACGCATGGGGCAGCAGCAGGACAAACCCGGCTTTTCATCTGCCGGCACTGGGGTGATGGTCACAGGTACTCTAGCTGCCAAAGAAGGCGTAGAGCCTCCCAAAACACCTCCAAGACCTCCAACAGACCCAAAATAAAGTCGTTGTTTGTCGATCCAGACACCCTCGCCCGCACCCTGCCCAAAACCCGCCCTTCTTGGTGGGGCTTTGCCTCCGGAACGCCTCCCAATTGACCCAGGTTTCACGGGGGGTTGACATAAGCTACGTCGAAACTGCTGAGAAACCCCACCTCCGGCGAGGACGGGATTGTGCCGACAGAGTCCTCACGTGTCACAGCTGACGGCAGGTTCACGCAGTGCGACGCAGATCAAGCCCGAGCCTGCCCTGCATCCGCCAGGCCCTGCACAGCATGAACGCACAAGGACTACGTCGCTGCCCAAAAACCTTTCCCAGAAAGCTCCCAGGCTGCGTGGGTTCAGGCTTAGGGTAACACTCTCGCCTGCGGCGTAAAGCCAGGAGGGTGGGGTGCCACCTGAGCATCGGCTTGAGGAGAACTGCTTAGGATAGTGATCTTGCATCGTAGTGCGAGTGACCCTTGAATATCGAGGATGATGTAAGAGCGCCACCGGAAGCTTCAGTTTGGGAGCGAAGAGCTGGTGGGGATTCTAAATGTCAAGCGGCTTCCGGTCAGGAGGCGCAGGTCTCAAATGTTCTGCCTGCCCCCTCACCCCTCTCCCACCCATCGTCGGCCCAGCATATCTTAGATCCGGGATATCCTAGATCTGGCAGTCATTTACAGGAAGACCCTTCCATACTCCAAGTCTCTAGGGCCCTGGCCCTGCCCTCTTCCATCTCCGCCAGAAGAGCCTGCAACCGGCAAAATCCATCCCAACGCGACTTGAATCACCTCCCAAGCTCCGGACGTCACCACGCTGATCTCTCACATCCCTTGTAATTTGCATCGTGAGTGGAGCGCTAGAAGCGAGGGTGCCGGGGGAATACTCAGCACCACACGGGCGCCCGGAGCCAGGAGCACCTTGCCTCAGCCGGTTTACTCACAGGTACCTGCTCGGCAACTGCAGGAATGCCGGGACGGTGCCTGCGGATGTAGGCGAAGCCGGCCAGTGCGGCGCCTGCGTTCATGCACAGTGAGACAAGACTTCCACAAGTGACGAAGGGTGTTGCCGCCCAGAAGCCGCATGCCAGCACCGTGGTGGCGCACACGAGGAACACCACGGAGAAGAAGGTGTCCTGAAAACAGGCCCTTAACTCGCCACGCTACTCGCTCCCACCGATTCGTGCCTCATGCTCCTGGCCGGCGGCGAAGACTGCGCGCAGGACCGATGGCCGCTCCAGAAGCGGCCCGTCTGGCCTCAACACATCCCTCAACAAGCAACGAGCCAGCGCTCTCCGGTGGTTTGAATGTCTATGACGTGACTGCTCGGCCCCTTGCAGGTCCACAGCCTCTGGGAAAAGGGTCGGCATCGCTTCAGTGGATCGGCGAAGGAGATCAGATGAAGAAGCAACATCAACGAGAGTGCTTGCAGTGTGAAAAATTGCGCTAGCCTCTTGAACGGCACAACGTCTTGGATGACACACTCCATGTCTGAACTTGCGACCGCATCATTCAACGAAGCAAGAAGCTTCTCTGCAAACCGCCGACGCGCGTCAAATGGATGTACTCAGCCATGAGTCTTGAAACGCTGCAAGGTTGAGACTTCCGGCCAACGTCGTTAACTATGTACTGGCCCTGGCCATGTGCTGATAATCCTGTTGCATGTAAGCATTACGGCAACAACAAAAACGAGGGACCACGGCAACGATGCACCATGACAACTGTGGCTGCGACTGCTTGTGGCTTGTGCAACGACAGCTCAGCTATGTCACTGCAGACTCTCACCCGAGCACTGGTGCGCGAACAATCTAAGGATGTGCGTCTATGCGGCTGCAGCTTGTAGCCTCAGCCGCGGAAGGTCTAGAGGTGGTCTTCTAGACAAAGAGTGCTCACCAATCCCCGTGGTTGCAAGAGGAGATGTGGAATCGGGAAGCTTCATGGCGGTGCACGCACGTATTTGCATCGTAGCTTTCGTTTGAAGGGGGGGGGTTCTTTGGCTTGTCTTGGCATGTATGTTAAGAATTCGGACTCAAGTCAAGTGGCAAGAAGACATGCTACAGATGGTGTTCCACGAACGCCTCAAGGGCCAGCCGAAAGCGTCGCCTTGCGCCTACTTGTATCTGGAAGCCTATTCATTCCTTAAAGCGGTCCTGAGCCACACATGGACACCGCATGAATCTTCATCGCAGCGAGAAGCCTAGCTCTGCAAGTCATGCAAACGCCTCGTTTTCCCGCTTTGGGCCAGCCTGGTGGTTTGCCGTGCCGCGGCATGCCCTGGCCCGGCCATGCCTGCCCGCGCAAGCCCAAAGGCAGGGAGGCAATGCTAACCTTGTAATAAGCCATGTCCGGTGGCACGACGACTTACCGAGATATAAGGACTAAGAAGAACAGCGACATGCACGCACATGATGCCAGCGAACATGAACCGGATAGGTCAGGACTGAGGCACAACTCAAGCGAATGTAGAAATGGAAAGCCGAAAATGCAGCAAAGACACCACCGACTGGTGCCATGCATTTAGTTTCGCCCTGCAGAAGGCCCCATCAAATGAAACAAGGTCCGAATGTGGATTAGCTCTGCAGCTGCTCGCTTTCGGAACCGGTGGTAATGCAGCATGTGGGCCTTCTCTTTGTCTAGAGTCTAGAGGATCGTAACGTCAACAGCGTCTGCTGCATTCCCCCTTGAGCGACGTGGCAATAGCCCGTCCTCACGTAAGTGTAGCAAGCGGAGCGCTGGTGGTGGTGGTGGTGGTGGTGGTGGTGGTGGTGGTGGTGGTGGTGGGTGTGGTGGTAGTCGCATCCATCGCATCATTCAAGCTGGACCGACCCTCGGGATTTGGCACCAATTTCCCCGACTGGTCAATGCCTTCACACTCAAGGCACTCTAGACACTTCCTCCAAGTGCAGACATTGACATCGGGCCGCACCAGCTCTATCGTGGACCTGTTTGCACTTGAAGCAACATTGCTGTCACCACCTGGACCCGTGCTTCGGCGGGAGCACATTCCTGGTCCCCAGCCGCAAACGTCGACAATGTAGAAAGTGAGCATAGCGAACAGAAGTGTTCGGCGGTCTTTCCGCGCAGGAACGGCATGAACAAAATGGGAGCTGCAAAGCTGCCAGTCGTGAAACCAAGCTTTCTTGCGAGGCTCCTGCAAGATTTCCTCAAGGAAAAGGGATGTTGGCAAGTGGGCAAGGCTCTCTACTTGTCTACTCTACGCTTCGCTTCTCTCGTCTGCCTTCTCTGCTGTTGGAGACCAGTACGCTACTCTGCTTGTACTCTACTCTTCTTGTCGCGATGCTTCTTTAACGTCTCCGGTTCTCAAGACTTGGCTAGCAGCATGGTAATATATCTTTCTAACTCTAACTGCATCTGAAGACGCAAGCCCGAACTGCCTGAGCCTGAGCCGAAGAACTCGTGGTGGAGATCGCTGCCTCCGTTGGCAAAAAGCTCGGGTAGATTCCGAGGAACTAGTTGCGCTGCCTACCTCTTCGCATTATTCTGGTGACTTCTGTCACGATGCTACACTGCTGTTGATGCTATGCGGCGGCCGGCAGTGGGATTTCGATGATCACGACTCCGGTCCGCCTGTAAGGCCCACGCAATGTGAGGCCCCCGAGCACTGGCCAGTCGGGACACCGACCTTCAATCAGGAGCGGTCTTATGCAAACACTTTGGAAGCCAGTGCTCGCACCCGAAGAATCGTTTAAGTATGTCGCTAAGCATGACAGCAGAGCGAAGGCTTTAGGCTTGCCACTTACGCTGCTGAGCGGCGTTAAGGTCGGTGCTGCTAGTGCATGCAAATCGTGAGAGCATCCACGGTCGAAACAAATTCACACATGCGCAGTCACAACTTTTGGCAAGCAGATCTGATCTCGGCACAAAAAGCCCTGCCAAACCTGCGCAAACCTACACCTCTTCTCGCATTCCTGCTGTCGCGGAATCTGCAGAAAAACGCATGGTTTTAGCCGCCCACAAACCAGTTATGCCCACCCAACCCCTTGTGGTCACAATCCACGACTGCTTGGGGTACAAGGCTCATCGTCATCGCGATGGTCGCATCGTAATCGTTGATCACCGGACAGTTAATGAGCAGCATTTTTATCATGATACTGCACTGCGCGAGGGTAGGTTCTTGAAGTAGCTCAGGTACGAGTAGTAAGCTCTCCCACTATTGCCCTTCACTTTCGCACCCCCACAACGACACTAGTGCCCATCTTGTAAGTCTTGCTGCTGCTGCGGCTGTACGGCAGCATAAGCGGCGCTGCTGCTACAAACAAAACACGATGTGCCCCCCGTTCCCCTAAGACTTGAGGCTTCTTGCAAGCACTTCTCTGTGATGCTAGTGATGGTGATGGTGGTGATGATGGTGGTGATGATGACGATGCTGATG